CCAAAGAGCCTTGGATGGATGCGGTTTTGTTAAGGCGCAAATAAGCAAGTCCTGCTCTGACAGTGAAATTTCGTCTGAGAGTAGTTTTAGGTCTGGGAAAAGACAACTTTAGCTGAGCCCCCTGGTAATAGACGGAAGGAGGTTGTAGAAAGAAGAGCAATTGATAGCAGACTCCTTTCTAAGAAGCCTATGGAGCACACATAAATCAAAGAGGTTGCGTCGAGACTGGAGGGTTGGAAGTTTGAAGTATTCATTCCTTACTGATGCTTTTGGAATCTTAGCATACAGAAAACCTCCGCGACGGATAAGTATTTTTCTTGTGAAATTGTTTTGAACCTTTTCAACGAGAGCAATATCCTTTTTCTTATTAGGGTAGAATATGACAGTCCCATTTTCCACTAACGGTCGAACATAAGTTTTGTATGCGTGGAGAAGTACCTTGCTGTCATTGGTTGCTAGGGCCTTGAATATATTATAGGTACGATGGAATGCCTTCTTATAAATATGTCTGTGATGTGAAGAAAAGTCAAGTTTGTCATTATAAAGAAAACTTTGTCATTATAAAGAAAACCTAACTCCCTTACCTCCTTGACATTTATCTCCACATCATCAATGAAATAAGTGGTAGAATGTCCCGAAGAGGGGCCTAAGTGCATATGGAAAGATTTCGCCGCGGAAAGCGGGATTTGCCAGTCAGTGGACCATTTAACAAGCATATCTATAGTAGCTTGGAGGGCGTGTGCATCTTGTAAGGAGTTTATGATTTTGTAAAACTTAAGATCATCTGCGTATTGCTTGGACACAACTTCATTCTGTATGCCTATATAACCAAGATCAGCCGAGTAAATATTAAAAAGTATGGGAGACAGGACCCCTCCTTGAGGGATGCCGCTAAGGAGCTGAAAGACATTAGAATAAGAATTGTTAATGCGAACCTGGAAAGTCCTTCCAGTAAGAAATTCCCTAATCCATTTGTATACTTTCTCATGAAATCCTAGTTTATCCATTTTGTGTAGCAGCTTCCTATGGCTAACTTTGTCAAACGCTTTAGTGAAATCGAAATAAATTACATCGAGGCATTTATCATCCAAAGCCGTAGTCCAAGTCATTGAGGGATTCTAGCAAATTGGTCGTGACGGATTTCCCTGCTACAAACCCCTGTTGGGAAGATGGATTTGCTTCCAGAGTCGGGGAACTTGAGAAAACATGATTGACTGGTTAAATATGTAAGCTCAGAGGGAAGGAGATAGCGTGAGCGATGTTCCTGATAAATACGAAAGGAATATGGTCCGGGTGATAGAGAATGAGCATGGCCACCTCATCAAAAGATTGTAGATATCGCTCTGGTCGAAATGGGGGAAGGTTTGCATTATGCTTGGAACAGTGTGAGAGTATGGTGGAAAAATTCAATCAATCGACTAACTCTCTTATTTAGAGCATTTTTTGGGAGTACGTGACCTGAGCAAACGTTTTCGTGTATAGTTCAAATACTTTAAGGCAAAAAAATGCGCGCGACTAGGGCTTGTTCCAAGTTTTTTTCCCGCGACTGTATTTCGCGTTTTACTTGATTGCGAGAGTTGTCTGAGGTCGGTTTGATTTTGCATCACTTCTCCTGACAACTGATCGCTCCATTTACTGGTCCTGATCACTTCTCC